GGAGGAGGAGGAGGAGGAGGAGGAGGTGGCCAGCCCGAACAGATCACATCGTCGGGACTCTGGGCGCCCTTCCGCCCTCCCTGCAGGGGGCCGCCGCGGAGGCCAAGGAGAGGCTGCTCGACTTCCTCGGGGACGAGATGGTGGCGGAGGAGGTGCTGCTGCCCGAGGGGCGCCCGACGAGGGGCCGCGTCGACGAGATGATCCTGGCCCTGGAGAAGCACATGACGGACGACGAGCCCGTCTACTCGAACCTGCTCGACGGCACCTGGAAGGTGGACTGCTCGCGGCTCTCCCTCTTCTGCCTCCCCTCGGGCTCGCGGTCGGGCGGAGTCTGCTGCTCTCGCAGCCGGCTTCGGCCCCGCCGCTGGGCGCCTTGAGTCGATACGCTGGCGCCTGGGAAGTCCGCGGCATGAGCTGAGTTGCTGACCTCCCCTGGGCTGACCTCCTCCTTCGTCCGACCCAGGCGTCCTCCGATATGAAGTCGCAGCCCGCGGCCCCGAAGCTCCCAACCCCTTCCCCGGGAGTATTTTATTATTTTTTTCTCCTGGATCCTTGATGGTCCCTGGGCCCGAAAACGGGCCCCAGAGGCCGAACTCGCGCCGCCCCCTGGCACGCTCGACGCGCTGCGGAGAAGAGGTGGCGTGAGGGGTGCGCGGCTTCCGGAGCAGCGCTGCCCTCTCGCGCCGCCCCGCCGCTCTTCGCGACTCTAGGTGTCATCGGGAACAAACGAGCCCCAAGCCCTCATAACACGATGAAGACGTGGCCTCACTCAGGTCTCCATCGTCGCACTGGGGATACTGGATCTGGGCGCGGTTTGGTCCGATACCTCTGCAGAAAAACGACCCCCCATCCCTAATGCTTGTGGGCCTCTGAACTTAGGGCCCCTCCCAAGGGGTTAGGGTTTTTTTGGGTTGATCAAAGTGCGGGAGGTGGTTTTCGGCGGCGCCAGCGTTGAGTCGGGCATGTCCCTCTACAGGTGGGACATTCAAAAAAAGTAGAAGAAATAGTCGGGGGACGATTTTTGTTCCAATTGTAGCCAATATTTGAATATCTTAATTCAATGTGTTTGAACTTTTCGTCCAAAATCCGCCCGTAGAGGGACGTCCCGACCGAAGGCCCGCGGGCCCCGTGGCCCGACGCAGCACACGAGCTGCCGCTGGGGAGGCGCGGCCCGCACGCCCCCCGGACCCCCACCTCCTTTGTCTTGCGGCACGCCTCGGCCACGAGGCCGGCGGCAGGTCCAGCCTGGCTCGTCGGGAGCCTTGAGACGGGGGTCAATGCAAACGGGGGGGGCGCCAGATCCTGCAGGATCCTGCGAAGACCCCCCTCTGGACGACCCGGGTTAGCGAGCCGCTCGTGGCCGCGAGGCGGCCGCGCCTATTGGCTGACCCGGTTTTGCGAAGACCTGCGTTGCAGTTTTTTTTTTCCTGCGTTGCAGTTGTTGGTTTCCTGCTGATCGGGTCTGGATTGACCCGGGTCAGAAGATCCCCGAGCTCGGCGCGCGCGCGCTGGCAATTAGGTTCGCTCGTAGCCCGAGCCAACTCTGCTTCTTCTGCTGGCGCCTTCGCCCTGCGGCCGCGACGGAAAGGTCTCGGCCACAGGGTCCCTGCGCAGGGGAGCGCACAATGGCACAAGCATGCAACCATTCGGAGGTCCGCGCGGATTTCGCGGATCGGCGCTGGACCCCCCCGGCGGACATAAACATACAACAACTCGGAGGTCCGCGCGGATTTCTCGGATCCGTGCTGGACCCCCCCGGCGGCGCCTCCGGCGCCGATCCGAGAAATCCGCGCGGAACTCAGAGTTTTTGTATGTTTATGCCATTGCTCGTTCCCCTTATGCGGGAGAGGGTTTCCGAGACCCCCGAGACGGGGCGAAAACGGCCGGTGTGAGCGAACGCCATCGCCAGGACCTCCGGGTAGGAGTCTCCGATGTAGTCATCAAGAGCAGAATTTCTACCGAGGTGGCCTGCTTGCGAGCGACTGCCAACATCCACCGAGCGCGCCAGGGGCGGCGCCGGAGCCGCCGCCATGGGGCTCCAGCGCGGATCCACAGTATCCTTGCGGATTTCTGGGGTTTCGATGGTTTTGCTATGGAGAGCGTGACGTTCCCACACCAAAGATCAGTGGACGTTCTGGGGTCTCGTGGTTGGGTTTCTTGTGGAAGGCTTTTTGTGGTCGGGCTCCTACTGTAGGTCCCCCGCGGGGGCGCGAAGATGATCGCGCTTCGCGCAAAGCCGTCTTGACAAGAGCGGCTGCCCTTCTCGAAGGGGGCGGCACGAGAGCGCGAGGAGCGCGCAGAGTCAATCGCTCGCCTCGCATCGTGTGGCGCGATGCGCGAAGCTCAGGTTAATAAGGTCATGAACTTTGGCTTAGCGTGTCGCGCCGCCGGGTCTGGCCAACCACGCTTCGGCGCGGCACGCTGTCCACGTCCCAGTGCCCTGTCCGCTCGCAGGGCACAGCGTGTCGCCGGGGCCGCAGCCGCGACACGCTGAGCAAACGCTCCCGAGTCTGGCGCCCGCGGAGAAGCCGTCCGCGATCCCCTGCAGAGGTGCAGTACTCGGGGTCCTGGGCGCCCGGCCTGCTCGCCTCGCCCACGCGCGAGCTCGCGCTCTTCCTCTACGGCGGCTTCTCCCTCGGAGGTCGTCGGGCAGTGCCAAGGGCGAATGGTAGAGCTAGTACATGGGCCCAAACCCGACTTCTAAGAAGGATGGTGCCTATCCGTTGCAGAACCAGCCCAGGCTCCGCCTGGTCCTTTTTGGTGATTCATGGCCACCGAACGAATCGCACAGCTTCGCTGGCGATGCATTTTTCAAGGTTCTGACCTATCAGCTTCCGACGGTCGCCCAGTCGCCATGAAGGAACAGGGCCTGGAGGGAAACGGCCCTACCGGGGCTCTGGGGCCGTCGGAGAACGGCTCAGGATGAGGAGCTGGTTCTGGGCGAAGGCCCCCAGGGGTTCAGGACCCGTTTCCCGCAGGACCCGTCTGTTTCATGCCAAACCAACGCCAAGCTACAAGAGGGTCACCATCTCATCTCAGGTAGTTGTGGATCGACGGGGAGGGTGGATCGAAGATCGAGGAGGTTTGGAATGCTCTTGGACGTCCTTGCGTGTCCTGGGAGGTCCGTTTTCTGGAGGAGGCGGCGGCCACCTTGGGTGGTGAGCCCCCTCTGCACTGCCTGGGAGGTGCTCTGTCGTCCTTTGTCAGCGGCGCCTTCGGCAAGAACCTGGGCCTGAAGCTGGGGGCGAAGACCGTCAAGATCCAGGGCGGCCGTGACGTGTTGGCCACCGTCTCCGTGATTCGTGGCGAGACCACCGACGAGCTGTCCTACACGGCCGAGCTGATGCCCCTCAGCGGGCGGCGGATGAGCGAGGAGGTCATGTCCGTCGACCTCCCGGCGCCCCTCGGAACACAGGAGCCTCCGATGGAGCTGAGGCTCGGGCCGAAGGGGGGCTTATGATGATGATGATGATGATGATGATGATGATGATGATGATGATGATGATGATGATGATGGTGATGGTGATGGTGATGGTGATGATGATGATGATGATGATGATGATGATGATGATGATGATGATGATGATGATGATGATGATGATGATGATGATGATGATGATGATGATGATGATGATGATGATGATGATGATGATGATGATGATGATGATGATGATGATGATGATGATGATGATGATGATGATGATGATGATGATGATGATGGTGATGGTGATGTTGATGATGATGATGATGATGATGAGGAGGAGGAGGAGGAGGAGGAGGAGGACCAGTGTAAACCCAAGGCGCATCAACGATATTGCAGTAGACTCTACCTCCAAGTTCCCTCTTCACAGGTTCCTACAGCAAGCTTTTTGAATTCAGCGCCCCTGAAGGGGCAGATACCGCCGCCCCACTTTTTAGGATCGTGCATTTCGTGGCATGCTTATTCTTTGACTTCTCCGCGTTTCGCTTGTATCCACGGTTGGAGTCAGATTCCCCCTCGGATTTGCTGTCGTGACGGCTGTGTGCACCCGCAAATCTTGTCCCACACTGTCCCACATGTACAGCCACATTCTTGTGAGGGTGTGCAGTATTCCTGGGGGCCCAATGCTTCGGCGATGGAACGTTGTAGGAGAGGCTGCTTTGTGAACTTCACGTGTGTCTCTTGGGAGGTCTTGCGGGGGTTCTGGGCGGAATCTGTTGTGGCCTTCCCCTGGGTGTGTCGGTGGCACTCGTGGGGCTCGCCTGGGGCGTCTTCGGGGCTTGTGCGACGTCAAATCTCCAGCACAGGATGGGCCAGGACGAACCGAAGAACTTGACCTATCCCCGGCTCGTGCTCTTCGTCCTTTCTCTCTGCTTTGTCCTCGCGCCAGCTGCTGCCTTCTCGCGGTCGATGCTTCTGCGCAGACGTGTCGTCCTTCTGCGTGGGGTGCGCGCGCCTGCCCTGCTGGCCCCTGGGTGCGTGGCCCGTTTCCAACTGCCGTCGCTGCTCGCTCGCCCCCCCCCCCGTGCGGCCAGCGCCCTCTGCCCTCCTGCCCTTGTCGTCGATCTGTTTGACGGCCATTAAAGAGATGAGCCGACTAATTTGCGAGGGTGTGAGAAGGTGGCGGCTGCGAGAAAGCGCGTGTGAGAAGGCGAGGAGGTCCGCGGCAGCCCGCACAGGGCGCGCCTCTGCGCACGCCGCACCTGACCTGACCTGACCAAGCCCGCTGAAAACCGAAGTCTGGGGCCCTCTCTGGTGTCTATCCAGCTGCCTGCGGCAACTCCCGCCGCCGTGCCAGTCCAGCATGCTCGGTGGCTCTCGTGGGAGGGGGCACAGGAGGGTGTACTCGCGAGGGATGAACCACGTGATAGCGATGATGGGGATGAGATGGGGATGAGGATGGTGGTGGTGGTGATGAACATGGTGGTGGTGATGGTGATGATGATGCTGATCATGATCATGATGATGCTGGTGATGAGCATGCTGATGATCATCTTGATGATGCTGGTGCTGATGATGACGATGATGACGATGATGGTGCTGAGGATGATGATGATCAGGATGCTCATGGCGGTTCTGATGCTGCCGCTGATGAGGCTGATGATGATGGTGATGATAGTGGTGACGATGATGAAGATGCGGATAATGATGATCATGCTGATCATGATGATGGTCATTGGGATATCGTGGGGGGCCTCGTGGTGGCCTGTTGGAAGCAGTTTTGATTTGGGTTTTCGTGGGGCTCTGTTGGGGCGGCTGGGGCTTGGAGCCCTTTGGTGCTTGGAGCCCTTTCTCTGTTGGGGCGGCTGGGTGCGCGTGCCCGCGCGCCCGCGTCCACGCGCGCACGCACGCGCACGCGCGCGCACACGTGCGCGCACGCGAGCTTTCACGTCAGCGACGCAGAGGGCCCTCAAGCGTGGGCAGCAGATGGACATGCTAGTTGCGATCGAGCGTAGTCGAACACGCGCACGCGCACGCACGCGCGCACAAGCGCGCACGCACGCACGCACGCACGCACACGCGCGCGCGCACGCACGAACGCACACGCGCACGCACGCGCGCGCACACACACACACACGCACCACACACATCACACACCATACACCACACACCGCACGCAACACACACCACACACACCACGTACCACACGCCCTACACGCCGCACACACCACGCACACAACACACAACACACAACACACACAGACACACAGACACACATACACATGCGCACGCACGCACGCACGCACGCATGCACGCACGCACTCACGCACGCATCCGCGCATGCGCGCACGCGCCCGCGCACGCACGGGCGTACGCACGCATGCACGCACGCGCGCACACAGACACATACACAGACACACATGCGCGCACGCACACGCACACACACACACCCACACGCACGCACGCACGCACGCACGCACTTACGCACGCACGCACACACACACGCACCCACGCACGCACGCACGCACGCACTTACGCACACACGCACACACGCACACGCACACACGCACACACGCACACACGCACACACGCACACACACGCACACACGCACACACGCACACACGCACACACGCACACACGCACACACGCACACACGCACACACGCACACGCGCACACGCGCGCACCCACACACACGCACACACATACACACACACACGCCCGCCCGGCCCGCTTGCCCGCCCGCCAGCCCGCCCGCCGCCCGCGCGCAAGCGCGCGCACGCGCACGCGCACGCGCGCGCGCGCACGCACTCGCCCACACACGCAACACACGCGCACACGCAGATGCACACGCCCACACACACATACACACATACACACGCAAACGCACACTCACACGCACACGCACAAACGCACGCACGCACGCACGCACACACGCACACACCCACACACACACACATCTTCACCCACACGCACGCAGTCACGCACGCACGCACACATACACACATACACACATACATACAAACATACACGCATACACACGTACACACATACACATACACACGCACACACGCACACACACACACACGCACGCACGCACACACACACACACAAAAACACCGATCCACACACGCACACACGCACGCACGCACACAAGCACACACGCACACACGCACACACGCGCACACGCACACACGCACACACGCACACACGCACACGCACACACGCACACACGCACACACGCAACACGCACACGCGCACACGCGCACACGCGCACACGCGCACACGCGCCACACGCACACCACACACACCCACGCCCACGCCAACGTCCACGCCCACGCCCACGCCACAACCACACGCAAGCACGCACGCACGAACGCACGCACGCACGCACGCACGCACGCACGCAAACACACACACACACGCAAACACACAAAAGGCACCCACCCACCCACACCCACCCACACCCACCCACGCATGCACGCACGCGTGCGCACGCGCACACGCGCGCGCGCACGCGCACGCGCACCCGCACACGCACACGCACCCGCACACGCACACGCACACGCACACGCACACGCACATTCACATGTACATCCACACGCCCACTCACACGCACACGCGCACCACGCCCACGCGCACGCGCGCGCACGCGCACGCGCACGCGCACACGTACGCGCACGCGCACACGCAAACCCGCACACGCACACGCACACGCACGCGCACACGCACACCCTCATGCACACGCACACCACACGCAACGCACACGCACACGTACACCCAAATGCACACGCCACGCACACACGCACATGCACACGCACACGCGCACCACGGCGCACACGCACGCGCACGTGCACGCGCACGCGCACACACGCACACGCACACGCACACGCACACGCACGCGCACAGCGCACACGCACACGCACGCGCACGCGCACACGCACGCGCACGCGCACACACGCACACGCACACGCACACGGCACCCACATGCACACGCACACACGCACATGCACACGCGCACACGCACACGCACGCACGCGCACGTGCACGCGCACGCGACGCGCACGCGCCGTGCACGCGCGCACGCACACGCAGTCGCACACGCACACGCACGCGCACGCGCACGCACACGCACACGCACACACACACACGCACATTCGCACGCGCACGCACACGAACACGCACACGCACACGCGCACGCACACGCACGCGAACGCGCGCACGCACACACAAAAGCGTACGCACGCGCACACGCACACGCACACGGACACGCACACGCACGCGCACGCGCAGATGCACACGCACACGCACACGCGCACGCACACGCACACGCGCATGCATACGCACACGCACACGCACACGCATGCGCATACGCACACGCACACGCACACGCACACGCATGCGCACACGCACGCGCACAGGCACGCGCACACGCACGCGCGAACGCACTCGCAAACGCACGCGCGAACGCACTCGCAAACGCGCACGCACGCGCACGCGCACGCGCACACGCACGCGCACACACGCACACACGCGCACACACACACACCAGACACACCACGCATACCGCACACTATACACACCCCACGCCGCAAACATGCACGCGCACACACGAGCACACACACAAGCATATTCACACACGAACGCAACACAACCACTAACACACACAAACATCCACACCAAACACACACACACACGCACGCACACAAACACACACAAATACCCACACCAAACACACACACACGCACGCACACAAACACACACACCACACACATACCCACCCACCCACCCACACACACACCCATTCGCACACCCACACCCACACCCACACCCACACCCACACCCACCCACCCACCCCACACCCACGCCACCCACCCACCCAACCACCCACACACACACACACGCGCACAAACACACACGCTCACATACGCACGCACGCACGCACGCACGCATGCTCGCACGCACGCGCACACACACACACACCCGCGCGCACACACACATACACATACACATACACATACACATACACATACACATACACATACACATACACATACACATACACATACACATACACATACACATACACATACACATACACATACACATACACATACACATACACATTACACATACACATACACATACACATACACATACACATACACATACACATACACATACACATACACATACACATACATACACATACACATACACATACACATACACATACACATACACATACACATACACACATACACATACAACACATACACATACACATACACATACACATACACATACACATACACATACACATACACATACACATACACATACACATACACATACACATACATACATATTCGCACGCACGCACGCACGCACGCACACGCGCATGCACGCACGCACTCACGCACACACGCACGCACGCACGCACGCACGCACGCACGCATGCACGCGGGCACGCGCGCGCGCGCGCCCGCAACCCGCCCGCCCGCCCGCCCGCACGTTTGCCCGCCCGTTTGCCCGCCAGCCGGCCCGCTCGCCCTCCCGCCCGCCCGCCCGCCCGCCCGCCCGCCTGCTCGCGCGGCCGCGTTCCCGCTCGCTCCCCTGCGCGCGCCCGCCCGCCCGCCCGTCTGCGTGCCCGCCCGCCAGCCCGCCCGCCCGCCCGCCCGCCCGCCCGCCCGCCCGCCTGCCCGTTCGCCCGCCCGCTCGCCCGCCCGCCCCCCCGCCCGCCCGCCCGCCCGCCCGCCCGCCGGCGGCCCGCCCGTCCGCCCCGCCCGCCCGCCCGCCCGCCCGCCGCCCGCCCGCCCGCCCGCCGCCCGCGCGCCCGCCCGCCGCTCGCCCGCCCGCCCGCCCGCCCGTCCGCCCGCCCGCCCGCCCGCACGCACGCATGCGCACGCATTTTTTGGGCGGTCGCAGCCGTCGGCGCAGCGACAAGGCGGAGGATGTCAGTGCCGCGGCGGGGGCCCCGCGCGCGTCGGCCTCAGGGGCTCCGCGTCATATGCCATCTGGGCGCGCATGGCGAGAAGAAAGAGAGGACGAAGCCGACCACCGACGTGAGGAAGGTCCTGCACGGAAGGCGCAGTAGGCGACACGACAGGCGGCACGACAGGTGGGCGAACGACTTATCATGCACTCAGGGAGTGAACGCGAGTTACAGTCGAGAGCGAGGGAAATCAGAAGCAGGTGAAGCTGGCAAAATGCCACGGGAGACGCTCAGCACCTCGACTTGCGCACACCCGCACGCATTCCGACTCGATTTGGTTTCCCGCCTCGATGCTGATTGATCCTGGCTTGTGCCCTTGCCTTGTCTACCCTCCTGGAGGTCCAGACCTTTTTCCCTGAGGCCGACCTCTCACCCCGAGCCGTTTTTGACAGCCCCAGGGCGCGGTGAGGCACCCCAGAGGGCGGGAAATGGCCCCAGGCCGCCCATCGTGGCCACAACGAGAGTTTGTTTTCCGTTCGCCAGAGCTTGGGCCAGCAGTCTGACAGCCGCATGCCTCAGGCAACCCAGCGCGCCAATTTCTCGATGGTTCCGTCGAAGGCAGTGGCCTCCGCTTCGAATGACGAGGTGGGGTCCTGCACGAGAGCGCACGCCCTGCAATAAGGGAGGCGGCTCTTGCCGACCACAGGAGGGGCTCTCGGCTGGTGCTGGCTCCTCTGCTCTGCGACCGCGTGCGAACCCTACCTCTATTGGTTCGGTTCACGCTGGGGCGTCGGACGCCCCCGCCGGGCTTTTCTTGGCTGTAGACGTTGTCCAGATTCTGGGCCTCGGCAGGCGCTTCGGCAGTCTGACCCCTGCGGGGGCAGGGTTCGCACGTGGCTGCCTGTCTGCCCCAGGGCTGGACCTGAACAGTGTTCTGGCGATTTCGTGGGCCGTTTCCGTTCTGACTTCGTTTTTTGCGGTAGAGCTGCATTCGAGACCAACGCGAGGGAGAACGCACACGACACGAAGCAGAAAAAAAAACACCGTTGAGGTTCAGCCCCCTGTGGCTGCCTGCCTGCCCTGCCGCAGGCGGAGCATCCTGATCACGTACCTCGACGGGGACGTGATGGTCGCGCGGGACGAGACCGGCGTGCCCGACGTGCTGGTGCGCGTGTCCGCCCCGCCGGGGGCGGCCCCGCAGCCCGCGGGGTCCGCGGCCTCGGAGGGCGACGGCGGCGTGGACCCGCTGATCAGCGAGGCCGCCTGAGAGGCGCGCGCGTAGGGTGACCGCGGGTGCCCTGGCCTGCGGGACGTCGGGCGGCCACCCCTGCGTGCAGCCGCCGAGAAGGGCGGCCGCACGGGCGCAGCCCGCCGGGTTGCCGCGGCCTCCGTGGGGGCGCGGGCGGCGCTGGGCCCCCTGGGCGCCCGAGGGCCGACCCTGCCGCCCAGAGGGCTCGCGCGGGGGCCCGCTGCCGGAGCGAGCCCGGCTGCCTCCGACGATCCTGTCGATCGTCGCTCGTCTTCCCGCCCCCTGTGCGGGGCTGCGGGGGGGAGGGGGGGGGAGGCTCGGGCGGGCCTGGGCCGAGGGCGGCCTCTCCGGCGATCCCGTCGATCGTCGCTCGTCTTCCCGCCCTCGTGCTGGGCTGCGGGGGGGGGAAGGGGGGAGGCTCCAGCGAGCCCGTCGGGGGCAGCGGCAAGGGAGGGGATGGGCTCAGGTGGGGATGCCTCGGCCCTCAATCACTGCCTATTTTTAGCCTCGACCGCCAGGGAGAGCTTCGAGCACCGAGGCAGTGCCGAAACCGGCGGGTTTTCACGTGTCGGGCCCTGGGAGGCGGTACTCGTTCGGCACGTACCTAGCGTGTCGGGCAGACATTGTTTCGATACTTGTCTAGATGGTCGACATTATTCCTGGGATGTGGTCCTTCAGTACGATGGGAGCAGCATAGCCGCAATCGCCCAGTCGTCGCCGATGGGGGTCTGATAGCCCCCCGATCGTTGCCCCTCAGCCCAGGCCTGCCCGGGCGCCCTCACCCGCCCCCAGGGGGTTCTCCAGCTCTTCCCGAGGATGGAGGTTCGAGTTCGAGGGTCAAGGGTCGAGAATGCGTTGGCACACTTCTCGGCGTTTTTTGGACGGGGTTGGGGGGGCTTTGGGGGTCCTGGCGGATCGTCCTCCTCGAAGAGCTGGCGCCCCCCCCAGTGGCGACCCCCCCTCGGCGTTGCCCGGCGGCAGAACTTCGAGCCCCGCGTATGGGGCCCCTTTTCCCACCCTGCCCGTCTGAGCGCCCAGGCAGCTCAGCGTTGCAGTCGCGTGCGCAAGAAACTGGCCTCCTGCTGCTGCTGCTCCTTCTCTTCCTCCCTCTTCCTCCCCCTCCTCCTCCCCCTCCTCCTCCTCCTCTTCCTCCTCCTCCTCCTCCTCCTCCTCCTCCTCTCAGGAACTGCCCAGGCCCAAGAGGCTCCGCGAGCTCCCCCCACGCACCCCGCTCACACCACCTTTTGGTGAGCATGGCGTACAAGGGCAGCACGCGGGGACAGGGCCGACTCGGGCAGATTGTTCGTAACAGTTACCCCGCACCAGCGAAGGTGATATATCGCAATACTCAGTGGGCATATTCCTCTCGGCTGGAAGAGATACCGACGCATACGCAAAACACAGATTTCGCAGTGACTATCGGCACTGGCAGATATGCCGACGCGGGCGACGTGACCCAGTGCCAGCTCCCCACCACAAGGGCGTCCAGATGGGTTGGCCGAGGTCGAGGGTGACCAACAACTCGTGCGGCATGGCCATCTTTCTCAGTAAACGCATGTATGGCACGCTCCAGCAGGTTGCCGTGCCGCCACCCCATATGATAATTACAGGCAGACTTGGCATGCCGAGTTTCTCCCTGGCGGCACGTCCATCGCGATCTTCCCGATCTGCCTCCCGCCCAAGGGCATGGCCGCCAGCATGCGGCGCAGCGGCACCAACACATATTCGGCTGGATCGCAACGGGGATCGAGAAGCTAGGTCACGCATGCATGCCGCTCGTGGCGGGCGATTGGTCTTACAGTTCGGAGGTGCAAACGGACGTCACGGGACGTCGACTCAGTAGAGAAGACAAGCACACTGGCACAGCACAATTGGCATTGGGAACTCACGTTTCAAAGCAAGCAAGGGAGTTCTTAGAAGAGAGTCACAGTCGAATGTCTGACACACATTTGAATGCGGGACCTGGGTATTACCAGGGGCAACTCACCAGCAAAACCGACCACGTGGCAGGACCCGCAGTCATGCGCCAGAAGCTCATGCGCCTTAACACCTTGATTCGGGGTGGAAATTCCACCTATGGGATCTACACACCAGCGGCTAACCGCGACGCCACAATGAGTGCATACATCACTGGACATCGTAGACTCTTGAGTTTCTGGAAGAAGTGGACAAGCCGCCGAACGACATCCCCGAGATCGACTGGAACGATATATGGATCCGTGGTGGCGTGCAGAAAACGCGAAATACTTTATCAGAGGGCATTCGGGAGGCCATGCAGAAGGCCCACCCGCCGAACGCCAACAACATAGTGGGCTAGGAGAGTTTCAGACAGCGGCGCGTGGAACTGCTGGCGCTACGAATACGCCTCCGCGAGAGACTGCGCGAGACTGTCGCAACATAGTTCCAAGGCAATGGATCAGCAGTGTTCGATGACACGGAAGCGGAGCTGCAATCATCGTCGGAGAGAACATCGATAATTTCGTCGGAGATATCAACTTAGCGTGACGGCAGCGGCGACGAGCAGAGGCACGGCTGTTGCGAGTCACGTTAGCGGCAAGCGGTCGTGAGCCTAAGAAGCGTTTCTTGTTCGTACCACGGCAGGGGGTGACGCAGGGAAAATGCGGAGAAGGATTCTTACCGGCACCCGAGCTTGGAGGAATGGATTGCAGAAGGATTCCGTGGGACGACTGGCTGAAGAATCGAGCTGCCTGGCCGCGACTTTTTTTTGGGCGATCAGATATCAACGATGGTCTTCGGCAAGACAGCAGGTCATATTACCTATGTTCGAAATGCGCCAAAGAGGAGAACAGGGCCGTCTTGGGAAGTGCTTGCCGAAGCCTTTTGCATGCGCACAGGTAGTAAGAGAAATCACCGAGCATGATCGAACATCTGTTCCAGTTGTGTTTTCCATGACGTACAACTATTTGTTGGCACTCGCCAGGCTGGTCGGCTCCGTCCCGCTGTCGGCAATCCGATCACAGATTTCCGCCCAGTCCAAGAAGAGTTCTAGACAAAGAATCAATGGACAGCGTGTGTTTCATTGCTTCGATACTGTTGTAATGTCTGATGTCTTTTACCAGCAGAGGAGTTCTCGGAGACCTACCCCGCCAGCTTTCGCACGCGGAACACGTCGAGGACGGTGGTAAGAAGGAGGCGTATTCAGTCTTTCAGCATCATGTTGGCGATGCCGTGCTGCATATGTAAGTCATAGCTTGTTCACGTACGCCGGCACGAATTCCCAACTATGACGGACGCCTCAGGGATTAACCCAAAGCGCGCCGTCAATCATGCTGTAGGAGTGAGAACGTGCAGCTCGTACACCAGGCAATCGACCAGGCCGCGGTCCACGTCGACGCCACTGACGGGAAACCGATTTCTTCCCGCAGCAAGGCACCACGATGGGCCACTCGCTTGCCCCTGGATCAAGGTGCCCCCAGCTTTTCGCTCCATCTCGGAGCCCCTGGGGCCCCCTGGGCCTCGTGAGTGTCGGGCCGGGTGCCGAACGAAGGGGGGGGGCTGCGAAATCCGTTGCGTGCAACTGTCTTCGGCTCCGCCGCCGGGCCAATTCCTCGATGCAGGGGCGTTTCCTGGCGCCAGGAGGCGTCAGGAACACCAGCTGCGTGGGCTGATCCTCTACCCTGCCCTTCGCTATCCTGCCCTTTCGTCCCCCCACAGAACGGTTCTCTGGAGGCCGGGGGGGCCTCCGGCCACGCCCGAGGAGAACGGCAGGGCGCCGCCAGGAGCGGCGGGCCCAGCCTGAGGCCGCTCGCCCTGCGGCTGGCCGGCCTCGGGGCGCCGTGCGCCGGGCGGCCGATTGCACTTAGGAGTGACCCTTCGCCGGAGTGACCGTTGGTGCGGGCTCACCGGGGCCTCGCGATCGCCGCACGCGAGGCGGCAGTGGCGTCTTCCGCGCGTGTGTTTGGCCCCCCCGCGGCCCCCCAAACAGCCGCGCACCAGAGGTCGCTCTCACCCAGGTTCGCTCTTGCGTGCAGCCGAGGGAGGAGGGCAGGGGCCCGCGAGTCGGTCCGCGGATTCGTCGAGCAGTGGCGAAGCGTCTGGCGCAGCGCGCCTCCACCGCCGCGGGCCCCGGCTTGCGCCAAGCTGGGTGCGAGCGGCTGCCCCGCGCCGTCGGCGCCGCCGCCGCTGACCTCGGTGCTCAAGCAGTGGCGAAGCGTCTTGGCTCGCATATAGGCCCGCTGAAGAAGGTTCTAAGACTTCGTTATCTGCACAATTTGTTGTCATAACGTTTCTGGCAGATGCTGTCTTGGCTTAGCACATCGGGCTCATGTTCTAAGGACGTGTTCTTGTTCTTAGAACGTTTTTGGGTTCTCAGAAATTGTCGTGGTAGGCCTACAGGAATGCCGGGACGGTCGGTCCCTGCTCAAGTTCGTGCCCACCACGCCTCGGCGCGACACCTCGCCATGGGGGAAGCGGGTCCGGAGGGAAAGGGGTCCGGAGGTTTTTCGCCGTTTTCGGGCTCGCGGGGCTCTCCACGGGCCCCGGTCCTGGGCAAAGGCCCCGGGTCTAGGACCCGTTTCCCTCAGGACCTTCTTCCCCATGCTAATCTCCACCATCGGGCGAAGAGAAGAGTTCAGAGGAGGCAAAGGTACCCACACCGCTACCCTTCCCTTCTTTTCCCCTTCTTGGGCCTCCTGGGAGACCCTCGCCGTCACCGCTGGATTCGCCTCGGAACTCTGATCAGAACGCACCCTGGGAGCGGTCCGGGGAGTAGCGGTGTCGGTTTCCCCAACAGCGCACATGTTCACATGCACCGATCCTGGTTCAGCCTGAGCACAGGGTCGGTGCACATGCATCCCTGGCCAGGCCAGGAGGGCGTATGCACCGGCCCTGGCCCAAGGATCGGCATGGCCAGGATCGGCGTATGCGCCTACTTCTCTTCCTCCAGCATTTCGCGGTCCCCAGGCGTCCACGTGCCGAGCTCTTCCACGCCCCCCACCCCGCGAAACGGAGCGACACGCTGTCTTCTTGTCACGCGTAGCGCGTAGCGTGTCGCCCGGGCCGTCGCCGCGACACGCTAAGCAAAAAATCCCGACCGCAGGGGGGACTCATCGGGGGGCGGCGGGTGGCACGGAGATCCGTTGGATGCAATCCTTTCGCGACGGGCGTCTTCGGCTGACTTCGGGCCCTGGGACTGGTCGTGATTTTTCGCGATGTTGCATTGTCGTTCCTCCTTCCGCGGGTTCGTCGCCCTTGCGCTCGACGACAGGGGCAAGGGTCTTGTTGGGGTGTGCGGGCGGGTGCTCAGGGCGAGAGAACGGGCTGGCGCTGCTTGTTCCTTTCTCCCCGAGCGTTCCCTTCTGGACCTACTCCCAGACTCCTGTGCCACGGGCCGTTTCTCCCTTCTCCTTGCTCCCTGCACCCTCCTTCCTGCATCCTTCTCCATGCTCCCTTCCTCCTCCTCCTTTCCCTCCCTCCCTCCTCCCTCCCTGCCTCCTCCCTCCTCCCTCCTCGTCCTCCTCCCTCCTCCACCTCCTTGTCGGTGTGTTGGAAAATGATGAGGGGGAAGGACGGTGAGGGAATGGGGGAGAAGCAGGAGAGGGAGGCAGGACTCGGAAAAGGAGGAGGGGAGGGGGGGAAACGGAAATGAGGGAGGGAAGGGGAAGAGATGGCATTGATGGCGGCAGGGGCGGATCGAGGAGAAATAGAAGCAGGACCCGAGTGAACCCGAGAGGCAGCAGGATGCCCGCCCGTCAGACGCCGTTTCCTCATAAGCCCCTGCAGGGTTTGTTGTTCACTGCAGTCGGTGCCCATTTTGAGATGCGAGCGCCCCTGTGGCCCTCCAATTTTGGCGGGAGCCCCGTTTTGAAGAGGAGCTGCCGCCCATGCTTCTAGGTACACGAGCGGTGACGAGAGCATATCAACAAGTCCAGGTACGTGTTCAGCGAGGACCGCTGTGAAACAGAGCCGCATCCAAGGCGGTTCTTATGTGATCGAAACTTAGACGCCTGCCCGTAAGCTCTGAGGGGATGTCAGTCAGGAGCCCTGATGAATAAAGGGATCGTCCCCAGTCCGTGCAGCTTCCGCGCAATTCTAGAAGTCTCGAGCGGAAGTCTGCCCTGAACAGGAGCCGCCCTCTCTATTCG